TTGGGATAATGCCAAAAAATACATTGAGGTAATTTTTTACTACACATGAAGTCTGAAATAAATTGTTCAGATTTGTGACTCTTATGTGCTGTTGATTTTGGGTCAATAGGCTGGTGCCTCTGAACATGCAAAGACTCTGGGTCCGAAAGGATCTGATGCCCACAAGGCAGCTGTGATTGGAGACACGGTTGGTGACCCTCTGAAGGACACATCTGGGCCCTCTCTGAACATTCTCATCAAGTTAATGGCTGTTGAGTCGCTTGTGTTTGCCCCGTTCTTTGCTGCACATGGTGGCTTGCTCTTTAAAATTTTTTAAAATGAGAACAAAATGTCCTGTACCATTACCTATCCCTCGCACATTTTCTGACTTCGCTGAAGTTCAATTTTCTGTATTGTTTATACAAGTTTAACCTTTTGTAAGAATTAGGTTTTTGAAGAAATTTTGCATTTGGGGCTAGTGATTAATCTTTTTTAAGGGACGTCATTTATATTCTTTTTTCCGAGTAAATCTTTTCAAGTTGGAAAAATTGAGCTGGAGGTTCTCAATCCATGTGTGTAATTGGTCTTCAATCTTTATTTTATATGATTGGTGAAATTAAATAAATAACTTAATTTCACATTTCATTCAACTTATTATCTAATGTCATTTAAATTGGGATTGTAATTTCAGTGGGGCTAAATAGCATTATTCTGCTTGCAAATGATAGTGATGAAGAAGAAAGCCAATCAAAACCTAGAACTTAAGAAACACGACGTTTCTTCTAGATTCTTGAAGATTTTTAGCCATATTGCATCAAACGAGAATAATTATATATGACAAATCAGAAAAGTCAAAAATTTAATAATTTGATTAGACTAAAGATATCAATCTCCAGTTTCTCATTTTTGTAACAGCACTTTAGGCATTCCATTTTCTGTTTGTATACGGGTTAACGTCGTTTAAACAGGAAGAAAGAGCTCAAATGTAAATTTGACACCTATGTCATTTCTTTAGTGGTGGAACAATTAAAGAGATAATACTTAGGAACAAAAATTTAAATCTTCCAATAAATTTCTAATGCAACGTTTGAACCAAGTTTTAAAACATTGTTTCGTGGACAGGGATGTAGAGATCCCACGTAAATCTGTAGGTACGCAATTTTGATTGCATGACCTACTTCTAATTATATGTTTTCAAATTAATGAACGAGACCTTATCTCATATCAAGTACACTATGAGCGCGACAACATCAAATTTAACCATAACATATAATAAACATTAAAAATCAATATAACATAAATAGCAAGATTAATAAACCGGCTACCTAAATAAAAATTGAAACAGTAGTTGTTATTTTTCACATTATTTATTATTATTATTTGTACCAACTAACGTCTTAATCTTATCGTTTCCAATCTTTTATAAGCTTACGTTCCCCACTACATAGTGACGGAAAAAGACAATTGCGCTAATGCTTCTTTGTCAACAAATCTGTCTTATGAATTAATGATTGTCGTCTTCAATGACAATTTCCATCTAAAATTTTCTTTTAGGTAGCGAAAAAAGATCAAATTGCACTAAACTAGAATTCTTCAGTCACCAACACGATTTGATCAATGTCCAACAGCCCCCAACCTAGGTTGATACAATACAATTTTTATACAGTCGATTCACGGGTAACGACATTAATATTCATTAAAAATAATTGGGACGTATGCGAAACATTGGCACGTGGTGAAATGACACCACTTATTTGACTTTAGTGAGCATATAATTGCAAATTTGCACATCTCAAGATCCAAAGGAACCGACCTCAATTATTTGTGCAAAAAATTTTGTTTAGTCCGTAAAGATGTCCATTTCACGTGCCCATATCAAGGATGGTATCGTGATTCAGACACTCCTTGAATTTCAGTCAATTACTTAGAGGTGATATTCCCAATGTCTTTAAATAATGTATTATTAAAAAGTGTAATGCTATTCACAGTGAAAACTATCAATATATATACCAGTTTGTTATTTAATATGATAGTTTTTTATTGCCTTATGCATTAAATAACAGATCGTCATGTGTATGTCACGTAAGATGACTGTCGATAATTTTCACTACGGATAGCATTATTCTAGAAAAAGGGAGTTTAGAAAATTTATTTTAATGATCATCAAACAGGACTTACTTCCACGAAAGATGTTGTGATAAACAATTAGATCACGATGCAGTAATATTTTAATAGTTAAAGAACATATTCAAATCTAACTTATCAAGAGAAACTTTGAAAATATTAGTAAACATCGACGAGTGTGCTCTCTTCGCTTGTTATTTGTGAATATATTGATCTTCAATACAAACATTAAGAAAATTACTTTTTATACTCTTTATTGGAAAAGAATAGTCAAATTTACTTCCTATATCTTCTCGCCAGCTCAATTCTACTTTCACATACTTCATCGACCATGCGCACCTCTACAACAAAGGTGACAAGCGTGTGAAGAATTCTGCTAAAATTTTAGGCAAACTCTACTAAAAGTCTCCAAATTTTGAAAATATAGTTATCACTTTTTCAACTATTTATGCACCTATATCTTGACCTTGTTTTGGAATAAAGAAAATATTTTTGGATAATTTCACCCTTGTAGTCCAACTTCGCACCAGTGTCATGTGACTATTTATACATTTTTTATAAGTGCGAGATTGAGGAAATAGATGCAACAATGTAAAATTTACCCAATACTCTATTGCCAAGCAAATTGGAAGAGTTGACATTTTTTACCCTTACGAACAAAGATAATTACTCGATGCAAAAAGTCTTTTGTCTCCTTTTAATCATCATTCCAAAAATTCAGTGGCCACACATTTTGAAAAGTATAATGCTATGTAATTCCACTATGGTTATAATCACAATTTAAGTGGCGTTAATGTGACATTAAGGGTGTGTTTGATTACATTTATTTTTCATGAAAAATATCAGTTTTCCACCCAAATTCCTATTTGAAGTATTTGATTGCTATTTTTTTCCATGGAAAACATTTTTCAACTTTTGAAAATATGTCTAATTTTCCTTATTTTTCAGGAAAATATTTTCCTTGGGTAGATGTGGTTTTTATTTTCCACAAAAGATGGAAAATATTTTCTTTTTAGGTGATATTTTCCATGTCAATCAAACACGCTTTAAATGATGGATGAAATTAATTAAGTTATTTAATTTTACATTTATTTCATTCAACCTATCACTTAACGCTAATGGGATTGTAACCTCAATTGAACTAAATAGCATTACTCTTTTGAAAACCACCTTCTTAACATAATGAAAAATTCATTACAAATAAATGCATCTCTCTAACACAAGCTCCACGAATATATGTGCCAGTCAAATTAAAAATATATATATACACACATTAACCTAATCCAAGACACTAAATATTTCTCACCTTGATATTGCGTTCTTAGGGGTGGCAATCGAGTCGAGCAGCTTGGGCTCGAATTAGGGATGACAATTGAGCCGAACGACTTGTAAAAAAAGTGTTTGTGCGCGGCTTGTGTGGGCCCACGAGTAGAAAGTTCACAAGCTAATGAGCTCGTGGGCTAAAAAAAAAATGGAAATAAAAAATAAAATTTTTTAAAAAAAATCTTGAGCTCGTGGATTCGACTTGGCTCGGCCCTTGAGCACAAACTTGAGCTCGTGGGTATATGGGCCGAGCTGAGCCACCCGTTCTCCTTGATCCAAAGGATAATAATTCAAAAATATGATATGTTTCTTTACGAATGGTTCAAACATTTATTTAAATTTGAATTTAGAGTCTAGTTTTATTTTAAAGTTTGGAAAACATGCACATGCTTATATATACATGCTCAGAATATTATCTTTTGCAAAAGAAAATAAATTTTTTAATCAAAATTTTAATTATGACATGATTGAGAATCTTGATATATTATATTAATTGACAGGCTACAAGACTGTGTGGGAGGTTGGAGGGAAAGTGGGTAGGTGAGCTTATGTAGTAAGTACTAGGAATCAAGTGTTTTTATTTCTACTAAATTATCTAATTATATTCAAAGATTAATGGATTATTAAAACACGAATTACTTTTTATATTGAGTGCTTATTGGGTAGGGATTTTGTTAATTGATTTTTTTGATCGTTAGAAATAAAGTAGGTCCCACTTATGAGAGAATAATTCAAAAATGACTGGTAGAATAGTAAAATAACGGTCAAAAAATAGATTTTAATTGAATTTTAAGTTGTAACAAACATGCTCTTATATTTAGCACGTTTCTAACTCTCAAAGACCCATCTTTCATAAATGAAGCATCAACTTGAACTAATGTTATAAAAAGCAGTTCATGGATCCATCCAGAAAAAAATAAAAATAAAAAATTAGTGCATGATTGATAGCAATTTTTCACAAATAAATAAATAATAATAATAATAATAAACCAATTTTTTGATTATTATTTTACTATATTAGCCGTCATTTTTTTACTTCTTCACTCACAGATAGAATCCACATTTTTTTTCTAATGATCAAAAAATCAATTCTCATAATCACTGTCGAACAAACCTTTAATTAATGTTATTTGTAGTGAAACACCGATAATCGCCCTACATGACATATATGTAACATTTTGTGATTTGATATATTAATTTGATAGTTTTTTATTGACTCATTTATCAAATTACAAATCGTCACACATATGACACGTAAAACAACTATCGATAATTTTTATTATGAAATTCGGTTTGGTATCCATTTTTGTAAGAATGATAATGAAAAATATAGTCGTTATGAGATTTACAAAAGATATAAAAATTCAATTATGATAACTTGATATAATAAATAACGTTCATATTTTTTTATTTTTATAGTCAAGGAATGAGAACAACATTACTCTAATGTAAATCAGTAAATGGTCCAATCGTCTGCAAATCGGTGATAAAACTGTATTCACAACTTTTAAATTTTTTAAATATTATATAAAACTAACTTATTTATTTTAATTTGACTTCCCGTCTACAGAAGCAGCACCTGTACAAATGTACAACTTCCACATGATTGCCGCCAACTACCAAAACCTCGAGCCTCCGCCACCAGCCACCGTAATATTCGTCCATATAAAGATCCCTCCACCACCACTCTTTCATCAACCATCCCCCTCTCCATCTCTCTCTAGACATACACACTGTGTAATATTTACTCAAACACAAACTTTACCATTCTACTTTTTCAGTTTTCTACGTATATTCAAGAAATAAGGCGTTTTTAGAAAATATGATTTCATTCTCTTCAGTACGATACAGTCCCACACAAAACCCCGTGGCCTCCGCCACCAGCACGGCCACCCGGACTTTTCTCATCCCCTACCATTACCATACCCGCAAATTGTCCTTCACCTCACCACCATTTTTCCATCCCGCCGACCTCCCACGTCGCCTCAACCGCCTCCGTGTCCAGGCCATAGACGCAGCACAGCCTTACGACTACGAAGCCCAGCTCGTTAACCGCTTCGCTCAGTCAACCAAGCTCAAAATCTCCATTATTGGATTCGGCAACTTCGGCCAGTTCCTTGCCAAGGCATTTATCCGACAGGGTCACACGGTTTTCGCACATTCACGTTCAGATTATTCGTCAATAGCGCAATCCCTTGGCGCCGCCTTCTTCTTTGACACCCACGACCTCTGTGAACAACACCCTGATGTTATTCTTCTCTGCACCTCCATTATTTCCACTGAATCAGTGCTCAAATCCCTCCCTATTCAACGCCTCAGGCGTAACACACTATTTGTCGATGTTTTATCCGTAAAAGAATTCCCCAAGAATATCTTCTTGCAATATCTTCCCTCCCATTTTGATATTCTTTGTAGTCATCCCATGTTTGGGCCTGAAAGTGGGAAAAATGGCTGGCAAAATTTGGCATTTGTGTTTGACAAAGTTAGGATCGGGAATGAGGAGTCTAGACTTAGGCGGGCCGAGACTTTCTTGGATATTTTCAAGAATGAAGGGTGTAGAATGGTGGAAATGACTTGTGCAGAGCATGATAAATACGCTGCAGGATCTCAGTTTATTACGCACACAATGGGGAGGATTTTGGAGAAGTTGCAATTGCAGAGTACCCCAGTTAATACAAAAGGGTATGAGACTCTGTTGAATTTGGTGGAGAATACGGCCAGTGATAGCTTTGATTTGTACTATGGGTTGTTTATGTACAATAAGAATGCCATGGAGCAGCTGGAGAGGTTGGATTTAGCGTTTGAGTCATTGAAGAAAGAGTTGTTTGGGCATTTACATGAAGTTTTGAGGAAGCAATTGTTCGGGAAGTCGGAGGAAAGCCCTAAGCTGGTGCTCTCAAAGTTGCCCAAGAAGTTGCCCAAGAATGGAACTTCATTGTTACCCGCGTCTACATCAGAGACAGAGACCGTGGTGAACAATAACAATTAGGATGTTTCTACTTGTAATAGGTATGCTTTTCTTCTAATTAGCTATTTCTTGATTTCAATACATGATAAGTTTTTTATTAATTTGTAATAAATGGTGAATTGTGTAACACTCGTGTATTCATATGTATATAAAGAGCTGGAAGGTTGTGACTTGCCGTACCAAGAACTTTCTAAAAATTGAAGAACATCGTTGATGATCTTGTTAGTTAGACAATCTCTGTTTAATTCGATGGAGTAGGTAGTCAAGAATTCGATTCTGAGCTTAGCATATTTCTGCATAGAATTAAGTTTATTTCAAAGTTTCTAACATATTATAGAATCATACAAGGGAGCAACAGTACCTTCCCAATTCTTAAATTCAAGACATTCATCAGACCCTGAATGAACTAAATATATAAGGAAGTAATTCGCAATGGAAGGCAAGGGAGTAACTACAGTTGGAGATTGACGAGTGTGCTTGACTACCTTATAGGACTAATCTTGTCCACAAGGCAAAATAGCTTTATTTTGTTGCTTTTAGTGAAACTTATATTGGAAGATATAACCGATTCGGTATAGCAAGAAGACTAATTGCTAGGTTGATGGCCACAGAGAAGTGGTAATGAAGCTAAAGCTTCCGATAGGAGTTTGTTGTCAGGGATCGTGATCAATTACCACTAACTCGGGGTTGGAATGAAATTACTTGCTCTGCTGGATAAACTGCCTTCAAAATGAGGAATTACTTGAAAAATAAACAGAACGAAGATTGAAATATTCATTTTTGGTTGAGTTCTTTCTATCAATGAAGGACAAGAGTGTTGGTCCTTATAAACTGTCTAATAATCCATCGAAGTTTTATGAAATGTGCCAGGCATTTTATGTGAAATATAGGTTTGCACAACACAATGAGAAAAAGAGTCAGTCTCCTTGATGACTTCAAAATGGCTGTATGAACTAACTTGAAAATGAGGAATTATTTGAAAAATAAACAGAACAAAGATGGAAATATTTATTTTTGGTTGAGTTCTTTCTATCAATGAAGGACAACAGTGTTCATTATTACAAACTGTGTAATAATCCATCCAAGTTTTATGAAATGTGCCAGGCATTTTCTGTGAATTATAGGTTTGCACAGCACAACTAGAAACAGAGTCCATCTCCTCCTCGACTTCAAAATGGCCGTATGATATGACCAATCATTCTGTTAATTATGTATTAAATAGATGTGTTTCCAACTGGTAGCTTTGTTACAGAACAATACAAAGAAGATGCATCACTTGCCCTAAAATAGAAGAAGTTGTGTTTTCTATAAAAAGTTGTGAGACATTGAAAGAAGGAGCTGGATAGAGAGGAGAAACTATAAGATTTGGGATCTGTGTGCTCCCCAGTTTGAGGCTCTTAGAGGTTAAAATCGACCGGTTTGAATAGGTTGAAAAAAAACATACAACCTGGGCAAGATTGGGTTTCTACTGAATATATTGATTCATGCTCCTTTAGGTTTTCAAAATTTTATTGGTGGTGTCAGCAAAACTAATGTTTCAAAAGGATAGCATTCAATCTTCTGGAGCAATACTTGAGGCAATTATGTGATTTACTGGAATGATGATATTACCATGATGTGCAATTCGGATGTTACATTTTTAGAACTATCTATCTGGAAAATGTGGAATATCATTCTCATAGAGAGAAAAACTGCCATTTACACACAAATAAGAAAGGTTATCCAATTATGATAATCCGTACGCATTATTATACTTTGCAGTTGGTTGTTGAAGGACGGGTTTAATTTCTTCTTTATCTTTTTGGTGTTATAGGAATATGTTGTCTACACTATCGATGGTATTATGAGTGATGAAGAGATCTCCTGGGTACAGACATTTGTTTACTGCTGATCAATAAAAGCATTTCTTCCTTCCACATTTTTTAACCTTTATTTTTTCCTTTCTAATTCTTCTATTTTCCCCTAGTCTAGTATTATGCACGATGGGGATTTTGCATATTGTATAAGCTGTTTATGTGGTCCAACTTCATCAATGTCTTTGGAGCACTCTTTAACTGATTTCATTTATATTATTCAATAATGTATACTTTAATCTTGCTCTGTATTTATTTCTTCTCACAAGAGACTTAATTCTAGTGTGTCTTCATAATCTACTCGCCTTCTCACTGCTTTCCAAATTTATGTTCAAAATTTTAAAGATGGGAAAACCTTCTTAGTTTCCTTTTGCCCTTTGGCAATATATGAGAATTATTTTGCAGATCTGGGTATATACGAGAAATTTGATAAGCGAGCAAACTAGTTCTTTAATTAAGCATCTAGGAATTATGTATTTGTATTATAAGGGTGGTTGTGACATACTTGTGCGCTTAAACTTTTTCCTATGACTTAGTTGACCGAGTTCTGTAATATGATTCTAAGAACACTGGTGAACAGGCTCTCATGCTGACATAGCATCTGTTCAGAACATGAGATAATTTGCAAATAATACATCTTTTCTGAACGGAAAGCTTCTCTGCTAGTCCAGTCTCCTTTATTATAGATCCATGAATGAAACATGGTTAACCTATAATCTCCCTTTCATCTTGCTGATGCACTTGAATAACTATAAGAATGTAAATTTGCACGAGGTCTCTCAATGGATAATCTATGTTAGTAACTTCTAGTTCATCTTGTGGGAATTGAATCTACATAATGTAAGAGTCCAGCTTTAAGTAGCTCATACATGTGATCAGGGATTGAAGGTGGAGATGAGGTGCTCAATATATGTTTCTTTTTCTTCTTACTATTCAGGCACATCTAGGCTGATTGGGATCATTCCAGAGTAGGACGTGAAATGGTGATTAAGGCCACAATACTAGATCAACGATTAAGGCTAGTCGTAGATAGTAAGGGTAAAATACAGCTCCCGTAATTGATTCAAAAGACCCTGGCTTTCAGTAGATAAATACAATACAATATAGTAGAGAGTAATGCAATAAACGCATCAAGAACTTGTTGCAGCAGCGATACTCAGGACACATCTTCGATCAGCCACTATTTATTGCTGTTACATAACACACCGGAAGAGTAGAAAGATGGAGCTTGTCTTGGAAAGATTAACTGTAAAAAGAAAGATCATATTATAACTACGCCGTTGAACTATTTTGGAAATAATCGCACTTTTCTTCTTACCAATTAGAAGAGAATCTAAATTTTCACAGCATCGATTGCCCTCTTTGCCTGCTGGTAGTAGTCCATATAAGTATCCACATAGTTTCTTACTGCCTTGTATAATCTTGGCCTTTTATCATTAATAAGTTCCCCCAATGGTTCAATCACTTTTTCCGGTTCTGGAGTGCAGAATATAGCCATAGTGTGCCTTGCCTTGCTAGAGTTTGCCAGTGCTGTGTGCACTGCGCTCTTGAAAATTCCATTAGTCATTATCTGCACAAGATAGCCAAAGTTTAAGAAGATTTGTTTATTTCTATTCTGTCTCGGTCAGATCTCATTTCATCAAACTTATATCTTATTGAACAACTTCTTCTCAAAGGTTAAACTTTTAGATGATACGATTCTATGTACCTCCATTTGATCACCAACAAGAACAAGAAAAGCATAAGGTATTATAGGAACACGAAACCATTGATCATCTTTCATGACTTGAAGACCTTCTACTTCTTTGTCTTGCAGGAGAAAAGTTATTGTGGAGCTATCTGCGTGTGGCTTGAGTCCTAGAGCAAGATCAGGCCTTGGACATGGAGGATAATAGTTGAATCTTGCATCAATTATTCTGCGCTCGCCAAATTTCTTCAAAAAGCAGTCCTCTTCTAAGCGTAGGGACCTTGCCATGGACTTCAAAAGAAGTTTTTCTGTCTGTTGTATCTTTGTAGTGAGCTCATTCAATATCCTCCTGCACAACGATGAGGTCTACGCATCAAACTTAATGTTCTTCAAACTAGGAATAAATCACTCATCTTATAATGTTATTTGAATTGATAAAAAGAAAACTACCTAAAAGATTGTGGATTTTGAGGCCAATTTTGTCGTTTTTTTTCGTCTTCTGGGATGAGTGAAACGTACAAGCGATCGTTCCAATCAAGTGTTTGATTCTGGAAAAGAATCATATCATTTCCGTACCCATAAAATTCACCTTTCTGTCTCGCATATTTTTCCTTCTCCATCATTGGAAGCTGAAAATATTGTTTGGCAACTTCACACGCTTCTTCCAGAAAGGAATTTTCAATTCCATGATTGATTGCCTGAAATTCCATCCAAACCCAACTCATTTAAGTTTCAACTGAAATCAGTAATAATAATAAAAGAAGCAGATTATTCTTAACCTGAAAGCATCCCCATGAGCTAAGAGCTGATCGAAGTTGATGATCCGAATCTTTCAACTGAGAAATGTCAATAACTGGAATGTCTCCAAGTGGAACAGAAGCATCTATGGTTCCAAAATTAGGACTTTCCCAGATATAATTATTTGGAAACTCAATTCCATTTTCTACCAGCTCTTGCACAGGTTTCCCAATTTCTAGTTCAACTCCAGCCATGGATCAGAATCAGTAGGATGGAGAGAAGGAAAATATTTTTTTTACTTGGAAGGAAAAATGTATTTTCTTAATATCATTTGAAAGGTGATCATAGAGATAAGATTAGAAGACAAACCAATGAGATTGAAGACACAAAAAATATCTTCTGACTTTTAGAAAAGAATGCTGCGTTAACTGATTAGTGTTTATATAGAAATCACTACTCTCAAACAACACACACAGACTGTACTCAAAACTTTCACAATTTTACTTACATTCCATTTACAGACCAGAAAGTTGAGTTTTCACTGCATCAATTGCCCTCTTTCCCTGCCTGCTTAACTATGCAATGGAAGTACGACTCAGAATGATGTTTTAAAGTGGTCATGATAAAGGAGTCCATAATTTCTATTTTCTAACTTTTTGGTCCCCAATCCCAACTTTCTCCCCATTGCCAACAATTAAAAAAAAAAATAAAAAAAGCCAAAAAAAAATAAAAAAAAAAAGATGGAAAACCAAAAACCACCTATCCCCTAGGAAAAAAAAAGGTGGAAAATCACGCTTTAATGTGTTGTACCTAGAAATTCATGGAAAATCAATTCCCTGGAAAATTTTGTCAATCAAACAGGTCAAAAGTGGAAGTTGGAATTCGAATTCCAAGTTCTATGGAAAATTTCGTGCAATCAAACGGGGCCTTAGAAAAAAATGCTGCGTTAACTGATTAGTGTTTATATAGAAATCACTACTCTCAAACAACACACACAGACTGTACTCAAAACTTTCACAATTTTACTTACATTCCATTTACAGACCAGAAAGTTGAGTTTTCACTGCATCATTTGCCGTCTTTCCCTGCATGCATAACTATGGAAGTACGATTGAGAATGACGTTTTAAAGTGGTCATGATAAAGGAGTCCGTAATTTCTATTTTCTAACTTTTTGGTCCCCAATCCCAACTTTCTGACCTTATTCAATTGAGTCCTTAAATAAATCATAATTTTTTAATTGAACCCCGCACTAATTTATTTGAATCTCGATTTTCTTTTTATTTTTGACTTTAAATAAATTGTATAATGGCATGAATTTATCAGGACGTTACATATAGCACAATAATTTTACAATTATAATAAAAAAAATAAAAGATGTGATAACACCCATTCATATTACCTTCAAAATTAGTTACTCATAAAGCCTCTATTTGGCTCCAATTTAAAAATTTTTCAAACTCATTTTCACTCATAAATTTTTATGAAACCTGCAATTTTTTTATCAAAATATTAAAATAACTAAAAACCAAACTTTTATCTTAACCAAATAAGGGGCATATTTTACTTAAGAGCTAGGGCTATATAATTAAATAAAAGAAAAAAGAGTAACGCTATTTATTTAGACTCATGGCAGTCACAAGTTTATGTGACACGTAAATGATATTTAGAATGCAATTTCAAATGGAACTCGCATTCTTATATTTGACATATCAGGGTTAAATCTGCCAATGGCCATCAAATTTTATATTTAGTGTCAATGTAACCACCCAATTTAATTGTATTTCACCAATGCTACTCAATTTCATAAAATGTTTTATTATGGCCATCCAATTTCTTTTCACTAATTTTTAAAGGGGTAAAATGGTAATTTTGCATTGTATATAAAATAATTTTTTTTCAAAAAATATAAAAAAATAAAAAATTACTAAAAAAAGTTACTTAAAAAATAAAATAAAACAAAAACTTTTTTAAGTAAATAACCTCTTTTGTAAAATAAGTTTTTATTTTATTATTATTTTTTTAAATTTTATTTTATATAAAATGCAAGAGTGAAAAAAATGTGAAAAGAAATTGAGTGTCTACAGGGAAACGTTATATGAAATTGAATGATCATGATAAAACATTTTATGAACTTGGATGGTCTTGATAAAATAAAATCAAATTGAGTAGTCATGGTAATACTAAATATAAAGTAGGGTGATTATGATGAAACAAAATCAAATTGTATAACTATGATGACACTAAATACAAAGTTGAACGATCGTTGGTGAAGTTAATCCGACATATCATGAATAAATGTGACAATTAATCATGAATCTAGACAAATGTTCAAAACAGTATTTTAAAATTGAGCCTTGATATATGAACAGAAAGGCATTTTATAGAATTGCTACAGATTACTCATAATAGGGGATGGGGTAGGGGATTTTTGACATTTTTTATCATCACATGTGAGATTTCTGATGAAATTTTGTGATTCCATTTTCTATACAAATGGAATAAACCTTTAAAGTTGGGTCTATCCTTAGGGATGTCAATGAGTCGAGTCAAGTCGAGTTGGCTTGTGAGTTGAAATTCGAGACTCGAGTAAAATGATCGAGTTTTTTTTCGAGCTGAGTAAAAGCTCGACCAAATTAGATTCGATCCGAGCTTTCAGCTCAATTTATTATTATTATTATTATTATTATTATTATAATAAACATGGCAACAACTTGTTGCCTTTAAAACATTTTTTTTTTGTATTTTTTTTTAAAATATAGGCTTGTGAATCTGAGTCGGTGAGCCACACGGGTTGGCTTGGATTTTGTCCGGCACCCCAAAATGGGACTCCCGAGCATCGAGCCGAGCCTTGAGCGATCCTAACCGTTGAGTTTGATTGCTATCCCTAACTATCCTAATCCTACATAATCGGGTGGGAAGCAAAAAGTAAATAATTCTACTATGCCCTCTATTTTGAAAAATTTGCCAAAAATAATAAGAAATTAACACACTTCAAATAGATAGAGAACCCTCATCCCCATGTGCCTATTCCGAAGGAGGGTGGAAGATGCTGAGAAGAAAGCCGAGCAAAATCGAAGTCAGAGTTGAAGACAAAGAAGAACTCGAAGAAGCCCGCCATCTTTGCGCCGCCCTTGCCAGCACCAGTTCCACAACCGCATCTTCACTCCTCCACCGCTTCGATCGTTCGTCTCTTGATCCCTCCTCCAAATCCCATCGCATTGGCCTCTCCTCTTAAAAACCCATAAATCAGAACCCTCATAAAATTGTAAGTTACGTACATACTGGTCGTCAAAATTTCACAAGCGTACGGGGTCGTTGTACAAGTAATAATTGTGATGAAAGAGTTATCGTCCCACAGGAAATAAGGTCTAATTCTAGTATATTCGATATAATTAAATTCGTGTGATTAACTAAAAGTTAACATTTGTTTGAATAGCTAATTAAGTTCTATAACTAAAAATTGCAAAATTGATGAGAATTTGTTTTAGAATCCAGACGAGTGAATGTATTGGATTTCTGATGCCACTAATTAACTCTTAGTTCTAATTCTCGACCTATGACAATTATCTCAACTCATGCAATTGTGACAATCGAAAATTCCACTTTTATTTATTATTCTTTCCCAAGATATGATAAACCTATGATTACCACGAGACGATCCTATTCTTAGTCCAAATTCATATGGCAAACACGCATTGATGTATAGGATTATCACACATGATCGCACACGTCACAAATATTATTCCTAACATTTATTGTCCATACGTTCCAATAATAATATTTTACCTACCGTGAGTTTTTCAACACTACGAATAAACAACTTATTGTCCTAATGGTGCGCAAATATTAAAACAATATGGATATGCATATTAAAGAAACAACAACACAAGAATTAAGATAAAAATATAAGGTCTTGAATTAAAAACTAAGAGTCAATCAATTTTGTCATCCATCCAATACAAAGATATTTAGCCTAACATATTAATGTAGGAAAAACAGAAAAAATAAAAGAACGATATCACCCGAATCATTAAAATACGAAAAGAATCTGAAATTCTCCACTTTATGCCTTCAATTCCGAATCCAAGTGATGAAATCTTCTTCTTCAATGTATATCCCGCTCTCTTTTTCCTCTTTTTTTTCGCCTCCAAGATGATAAAAATTAGGTTCAAATTCACGTCCAAATTGTCTTCCAAAAGAGTTTGAATCAAATAAGGAAAGTTGCCTTTTCGCGCACGTAATTTTGTCTTTGCACAGCTTTCATTATTTTGATCATAACTTTCTCTTTTAGTGTCCGATTTAGGTGATTCAAAGTGCATTGGAAAACTAGTTAAAAGAGATACAATTCATCTAGAAATAAAATATTTCCAATTCAAACGTTCTCTATCCGAAAAATGGGTCTCAAGTTGACCAAAAATCTTGAAGATATCTTATATGATTTGAAGTCGATTTATGGTACATATCCCTTTCCTTTTTGACTCCAATTTGCATTCAATTGACTCCTATCAATCTTCAAAGTATCTTTTCTGGTCCAATTCAACTTTTGGATTATTGCATCATAGTCCCCAAACTTTGCCCTTGATGTAATTGAGTCGTTTTTTTCGCTTATTTTTTTAATTCTCGTATCTTCCATTGATTGTAACCTACACACAATATATACATAGGATTAAGCCATATTTCATCAAATTCATTAATAAATACTCAATTTTAATGGCCTAAATAAGTGTATAAAATACACTTATCAAACACCTCCAAACTTGAACATTTGTTTGCCTCAAACAATTTATAGCCCCATCCAATTAAACTTTGGTTAGATGGTATACTGTTAGTCTCAGAATTGGATAATTGTGTCATTACTTTGAAAAGTGTCCAAATTACACATTTGAAATTAATCTCCCCTTATTCAATGTGAAACTTAAAGTGTGTGTGTGAATATTCATGTAAACATCACAACGCTAATAATTGGTTTGATTCACAACCTACAGTAGTCAATTATTTCCTTTCCTCACTCGTAAGATACACACCCCCAAACTTATGTTTTTTATTCACTTTTTCTCGAGGTATGCACTAAGGTTGACTTTTAGCTAATTCTGATCCTTACCCTCTCTCATTTGGGTAGATCTTAGCTAATATAGATTCCCATCTCGACTAATAAGGATTCTCACATATTTTTTATTACTTCGGCTTCTAAAACTCAATTGAGCTAATGACTCATTGTCAAAGGTATAAGTCCTTAAAATAGTTGTTCGAGACTTAATCTTGGCACTTGGTGCTTCTTCTGTTTCATGTACCTGCTCATTCCGAATTTTTTTTTCAATTATATATATATATATTTTTTATATACTTCTCTCCATTAAGCGACTAAGTGATCCCTGTAGCGAGTTTTCAGCCGATGACCCCAAGTCAGATGACCATAGGGCACC